GTTTTGCAAGTTCACAACTCTCACACTTCAAAAAAGACATCTGAACTGACTTAAACAAAGTAGGAAACAAGTTTTTCAAAGACCCAAAAAACAAATGACCTAAATGGTTATGCCAAAGCATAATCTAACTCATAGACTGAGAAACAAAAGACTTCGTAACTCCTTTATCACTTCCAGGGGGGTGCTAGAACAGGTAGATTCTGTTCATCTCATGGCCAGTCCCAATCACTCTCCTTGTCACTAGATCCTGGAAAATACAATGGTCAGGGAAGATGGTTATTGAGCAATTTTGGCTTTTTGTAAGACTACTGACTGAAAGTAGATTAGTGCTAAGCTTAGGTACATGCAAAGTTGAGGATAAAGTAGTGGCATCAGAGATTCTGATGTTTCCCTTGCCAGAAATGATGGGAACAAGGGAGCCATCAGCTATGGATACTTCATCTATGCCTAAACACAAGTTGTAAGAAGTAAATAATGAAGACAAGCTTGTCATGTGATCTGATGTACCTGAGTCTATAATCCAAGTAGGGCTAGTGTTACCTGGAGTAGAGGCATGAAAAGTAGTGGCTCTTGTACCTGAGTGGCAAATGCTGATGTGGAGGAAGGAGGTGTAGTAGTAGTAGAGATAGACTGAGATGATCCTACAAGCCCGGTTTCATTCTCCAACTGAGTCAATGCTGCCCTGAATGCAGCTATGGCCTCCAAAGAAGTGGATTGAGGCCCTGAGGAGAAGAACCATCTGATGTAACAACTGCATTTGCATTTCCTTTCTTATTCCTGAGTATTTCCGGTACATGATTCGGGTGAAGCTTCCAACAGGTGTCTTTTGTGTGCCTAGGTTTCTTGCAATACTCACAAAACACACCCTTCTTTCCTTCATTCTTTATCTCTTTCTCCCTCTCACCACTATACTTGTGTCTTGTAGCTGCTAATGCCACTTCCATCTAAGAATTTTGAAGCATAACCTTCCTCCTACTCTCTTCACTACGTACTAGTGAGTAGGCTTGAGACAAGGTAACATTTTCCCTAGTGAGAAGTTTTTCTCTAATAATGTCAAAATCAGAATTCAGACACAAGAAATTCAAAAACCCTATTTCTTTCAACCAACTTGTTAAAGGTTGCCACATCTTTATTACTCTCCCACTCGATTGTTTCAAGATGATCTATCTTGTGCCATAGGGATTTCAGAGTGGAGTAATAAACCGATACAGGTTTCTCCCCCTGCTTCAGATTGCTAACTTCAATTTTCATCTCAAAAGCCCTAGCCACATCAAGTAGCTAGGAATAAGTCTCTTTCATATTGTCCCAAATATCCTTGGCTATCTTTTCCCAAATATAATTTCTGCTAATATGGGGCTGTATCGAATTGCACAACCATGCCATCACAAGATAATTTTCTTGAACCCATTTGGCATAGGAAGGGTCATCCTTGGTTGGTCCCTTAGTATCTCCAGTCACATAGCCTAACTTTCTCCTTCCTCCAATTGCCATCATGGCAGGTTGAGCCCACTCCAAATAATTAGAACCATCAAACCTGATTGTGGTAACCTGAAAAGGATTGTTATCAGTCATACTAACAGCCCTTTCAGCACCCTCTCCAGCTGGTTTCTGTTCACCCCCAAAGAACTCCATGCTGAAACCAACACAAAGAAGAATAAGACCACACTCCTCTGCCCTTTTGAAACAAAATAAGGAGAAAACTACCCAGAAATTTCTAGGCGGCACCTTCAATCTGAGATTTAAACCCTAAATCTCACCTCAAAAACTTTTTTCTTCCTGACTGCTGGGCGAACTCCAAGAACAGAAACATCCTGGGCAAGGCTTCGAACTCCACCAATCTCCAAGAATCAGGCCATGAAAAGAACTAAAACTCCAGCCCTATTAAACTCTCATGTAGCGGGCTGGGAAGAGCCTACATGAGATTCACGAGCAGACCTAAACCTGCTCTGTTACCAACTTGAAGTTACTGTTGGTAGCAGAACTTCTGAGTACAAAAGAGAACAGAAACCAAAAGAAGAAGAGAGAAGAGAAGAAGAGAAGAGGAGGAAGAAAAGGAGAAAAGAGAGCAGAGGAAGAGAAAGAGAGTGATGGGCGAAAAATTACTTACTGCCGCCTATTATTTATATGTTTAACATTACATTAGGTAGGAGGACAAAAATGCCCTGCTACCTAAAATAGTACAAGTACGCAAGCATAAAGGCAAGAAATAAGAAATAAGAACTGAACTTATAGGACCACATAAACAAGGAACATCATGTCTGGTCTACTGTATCACTACAAGGAGAGAAGAAGAAGAAGAAGAGATGTATGGAGAGGTGTGTTGTTTTTACTGTTCACACCCTCAAAAGATCTTTATACTTTGAAATAGTATATTACAAGGAAGCCCCTACTTGGCCACCTGAAAACAAAAAGAGTACAAGAAAGAGAAAAAGTCCAGAAACACCCGTCTAAGCAATCTCAACAAACGATTTATTCACATCCTCTATCTTTCTAGTAATATCAGTGCCCAATAGATCCAACGAGCCATCCCCGACCTTCTCTTTATCTGACACCGAGTGGGCCCCACACCTCTCTTCCATTTTCATACACTTCCCCAATTCAACCCTCTTTCCTTTCCCAAAGTCTCAAAAATCCAACATACCCAGCGTATCAGCCCCACTAATACTGGTAACTTTTTTTCTTCCCAAATTGCCTTCATCTTCAACCTCTGAACCTATCTCTAATAATTGCTTGTTTGACTTCCACCTCTTTGCACCAGATGATGACTCAGAATTGCTTCATGTCTCCTTCTACGAGAAGATGATAATCAATCCAATCACTTGGGTAGGTTCCTTCTACCACCACCCTTAAGTCGAATAGTTCCTTGCCAAAGTGAAGCAATAAGGATGCTGGAATGAGATGAGTTTCCTCCACCTCAATTAAGGTACGCACACTCACTAAATTCTTCTACTCCAAAGTTCTTGAACTGACAAATCTAAAAATACCACATGCATTGCCAACATCCTTGAATGTTTGGAAGCTCCAGGCATGTAGAGGAATGACAAACATGTTAATCCAGACGAAACTTGAAGGTCCCACATTTCTCAGCACACTGACAAGAGGATTCCACCTCCCCAATCTTAATTCTGGATCCCATAATTGATCTTGTTCTCGTTCAAGGATATCTATAGCTTGTTTCTAACTACTGAAAGAGAATAGAAAGAAACTTGTGCCAAGTCTCCTCACTTGGAACTGCCTGCTTGGTTTCCATTCAGTCACCATCCAACTCAACACTTCTTCACATCTGGTTCAGAGTTAACGAATTGACCAACCAAGAATTTGTTTAATAGCTTTAGTCTATCGAAAGTTCCTTCAGTTGAACTCATTATTGCCTCTTTCATCTTCTGGTGGATACCCTCAAACATGAAAACCTTCTGCAAGAGAGCTCCCTATTGTTTGAACTAGAGAAGCGAATTTTCTCTAGTTGGCCAGATTATTATTTATAGGTTTCTAATTAAAACATAAAGACCATTTAGAAAATCTGATGTTCAAAACCATTTTGAGATCACTTGCTAGAAGGATTTGGGAAATCCAGACGATCTTGAGTAACAAGCTAGAGAATGCACCACCAATCATAAATTTGTAGGAGTCATTTTTGTTCAATGTTTCTATAAACATACATTGTCATACCTTGAGCTGTTAATTTGACAATGTAACAAGACTTTTTAATCACTTTATTTAAAATGCCAACTGGAGAGGAAGGGTTTTATGGAGGTGGACTTTGGTAAAGACCATGGATCTGTTTAATGATTAAGATAGTGCATTGGTGATACTAAATGCTGCAGAAAGAAAGAAATCATGGAACACATAATGATTAAGATGGTGCATTGGGTAATGGAGGCCACTGGATTTAGATAAACTGAAACTGAACATTGATGTCTGCGATATTGGGAATCCCGGACCATTGGGTATAGGTAGAGAATAGTGCTAAGGGAAGCATTACTGCTTTGTTAATGGGACCAATAGGTGTGGGCGAACATGCGTGTCCGGAATATTATTTTGGAAAGAGCTTCAAAAGTAGTTGTAGTTGGCTCACTAAGAACAATCAACCAGGGAGTATGGAATACAGGTAAATAATAAATGTGATAAAAACACTGTCTAGCGAATTAGGATTAACATTTCATCGAGTCAAATGATCTGCAAGTTGTTTGTATGTTGACTTTCTAAGCAAGGACAACCAAAAGTCAGAGGGTCAGTTGTAACAGGGTGTTGGGCACAATTTAAAGAGGGCTTGTAGTACAGAGGTGTCTGAATGTGCACTCTTTTTTTCCGCTTATTTAATAAAGTTTTTAATTATTGATCAAAAAATGGCGAGACAAAAGAGATACATTGTCCTTTCTCATAAGGCAGTATTTGCACGTCAACCCACTCAGACTAATTGCCCTTAGTCATTGGTTGAAACAGTTTAGGTATGTATACTGATCATGTCATGCCTCTAAATTAGTGGCAACTAGCAGTTGCTGGATTTCAAGGTCATATATTATCCAACAATCTTCCCATCATTTTGTACTTGTATTCAGTGTCTTATGAATCATTATTCTAACACCAATATCAACAAACAGCATAGACCGTTGGGCCTTTTCCTATGAAGTTGTACAGATAGTTTGGTAATTAAATATCCAAAGTCAGGTACTTTACTGGCGAAACTGTGTATATAAGAGAATCTTACATTACATGCTCTTATTTACAGTAACCAACCTGGATGCTTATTTTAATTTAATTTATGTCTTGTGTGTTTATACTTCTCTGTCTTGTATGTTTACACTATCCCAACGAGAAAGGTGAAAAATGGAAAATGTCTTTGGCTCAGTGTGGAAAAAAGGGCAGAAGATGACAGATGGGAGCCATGGGATTCTCTTAATACATCTGTTTATGGTTCTTTCTAAGCCATATGCTACAGACTGTAGTTGTGTTGTGTTAATTGCTTTTCTTTAATTGATGCATCCTTCCTGTGTTTTTAGGTGGACATTGAGGAAGCAAAGAAACAAGAAAATGCAAAATTACAATTGGCTTTACAAGAGATGCAACACCAATTTGATGAAACAAAAGCAATGCTGGCAAAGGAACGTGAGGATGCGGAATTGGCTTTGCAAGAGACACAACACCAATTTGATGAAACAAAAGCAATGCTAGAAAAGGAGCGTGAGGATGCAAAATTAGCTTTGCAAGAGATGCAACGTCAATTYGATGAAACAAAAGCAATTCTGGAAAAGGAACGTGAGGMTGCRAAATTGGCTTTGCAAGAGATGCAATGTCAATTCGATGAAACAAAAGCAATTCTGGAAAAGGAACGTGAGGCTGCAAAATTGGCTTTGCAAGAGGGGCAACACCAATTTGATGAAAATAAAGCAATGCTGGCAAAGGAACATGAGGCTGTGGAAAGGACAGCAGAGCAAGCTCCCATCGTAAAGGAAGTTGCAGTTGTTGATAATGCAATGTTGGATAAGCTTACTGCCGAAAACGAAGAACTCAAGGTAAGATTGTTGAAGCTCTAAGATGTTAATGTTTTTCATATACGATGGCTGCTATTTCCTGTTCCTGCATATTGATGAATATTGTTTCGTCGACATGTCTTTTTGACATGTATTCATATTCTTTAAAACAGTATTGAGAATGTCGTCCTTTGTAAAACAGAATATTGGTTTGTTCTTGTTAATTATTTAGTATGTCATAATCTCAGGCTTTGGTGAGTTCTCTGGAAAAGAAGATTGATGAAACAGAGAGAAAGTATGAAGAAACAAATAGAGTTAGTGAAGAAAGGCTGAAGCAAGCTTTGGATGCAGAGGCAAAGATGACTCAATTGAAGATTTCAATGCAAAGGTTCTTTTAGTGATTGAACCAATTTTTTCATCTTTTTTTTTTGTTTTTGAATGATAACTTCATGAATTCATTAATGAGAAAGAAGTTACTGGAGTACAATGACTGTAATTACAAAGTAAAGTCAATGAGAGATAAAACCTCTTATCTCTCCCCACATCAGGTCCTCTCGTTTGCAACTGTGCACAAGAAGCAGTCTCTCTCCCCACCCCTTGTTTGGCTACTGCATCAGTTAAGGAATTTGCACTTTGTTTAATCCAGCTGAAAGTTACTTCCATGTCTCTTGTTAAACTTCTGAATTTCTTCTTTCCATTGTTGTAGATCTAAAACTTCACCTTGTCACTTTGTATCCAGCTCACTACCAATTTTGAATCACCTTCAATAATCAATTTTCTAATGTTCAGAGTTTTCGCCTTTTGTACGACTTCCATCAATGCGAATGCTTCTGCTCTAAGGGAGTCCTCCTCCCTAGCTGGTCCTAAAAATAGGGCAATTATCTTCCCCTCCTCATCTTTGATAGCACCACCAATACCTGAAAGTCCTGGGCTCCTGGATTTCCCTGTTACTACCATCAAAGTTACTTTTGGCCATACAAAAGTAGTTGGAGCAAAAAGGATTTGAACATTCACCAAAGGATTCCACCTACACCCAAATAAGGAGAAAACTCATTCACAAATAGATGCAATAAAAGGACAAGAGATTAGTAAGTGGTATCAATTTTCATCATTGACTTTGTACAAGGAATAGCAATGAGGGGATAAACACTACTTTGGCTGCTTTCTTTGAAGTAAGTCACAAATATTAATCTTTTCATGGACAACTTCCCAATAAAATGCTCAAATCCTAGGAGGAATAGGCTTACACCATACCTCCTTAACTGAAAAAGATAGCAAAGAACTAGTGGAGGGTTGGGATAGGGCTTTAGAAAAGGAAAAACAAGAAAAAGAGCCTGAAAGAGTAATGTTCAATTTCTTCCAAGGTTTGATGTAGTAGAAGCTCGATTTGCTAGCCAATGCTCCAACATCCCATTCGTTGTCCAAGAGTCCATGATTACTCACAATCACTTTTGCCCATAATTTGTCCTTGTCTCGTAGGATTCTCCATATCCTTTTTTCTAATAGACCTATGTTCCCTCATTGTATGTTCCCTATCCCCAACCCCTGAGATTTTTACCTCTACTAACCTCTTCTGTACTAATCCTATGATCCCTCTTTCCTTCTCCTGGTTCCCACGAGAGTCTCCCATCATCTTCTCAATCTTTCTACTCACACCTATTGGGATCTTAAACACTGGCGGGTATAAACATTTAGGTTGGATAAGGTTGATCTGATCAGAGTAATCTTGCCACCCAAAGATGGATACCCTTTCTTCCATCCAGCAAGCTTCTTAGAGAACCTTTCAATTATTGGATTCCAAAATCTAACTTCTTTTGGGTTAGTTTGAAAGGGTAAACCTAGGTAAGGCAGAGGCCATTAAGCAATATTACACCCTAAAATGGTTGCACAATCTTAAATATCCCCATCTTCCATATTAACCACATCCATGCAGCTCTTTTCAAAATTTATTTTTAAGTTTGATATTCTCAAAGAACTGCACCATAGACTTTAGCTTCCTAATCCAATCTTGCTCATCTCCTTCACAAAACAAAATGGTGTCATCCACAAACTGTAGATGGGTTATCAGTACACAATCTCTTCCTACTCTCCACCCTTGCACTAAACCTTTGAAATCAGCCATCAGTATGTGTCTAGTGAGGACATCATCAATAAGAGTTAATAAGAAATAAGAGAGGGGATCACCCCGTCTATTCCCACATCTAACCGAGAAGAAATTCACAACTGTGCCATCACTATCACTGAGTAATGACAGATTCTCAAAAAGCCCCATATCCATTTACACCACCTCTCCAAACCCGCACCGTCTCTTTACCTCAGTTAAAAAAGTCCAACCAACCAAATCGTAGGCTCTCTCCAGATCCAACTTGCAAATTATACTTTTTTTCTAGATCTCTTGTTTCCTTGATACCTTCATTAGCAATCAAAATCCGATCAGTAATTTGTTTATTCTGCACAAATTCATCTAATTTCCTTCACACATTCAACTAATTGTCATCTAGTTAAAATTTCAATTTAGTTCTCTTTGATTATGTAAACACGGAACAGAAATTGTTTTACTTTCTTTCTTTTTCTTTTTTTTTCCTTGATTGTTTGGTGTACTTATTTTCTTCCCTTTTATTCTTTTAATTCACAGGCTTGAGGAGAAGCTTTCTAATGTGGAATCTGAGAACAAAGTTATACGGCAGCAATCATTTTTAAATTCACCAGGGAAACGTATGTCCGGACATTTATATATTTCAACAGATAAGGTAAATCTAGTAAAAGTAGATATATCATCATCTTGTGGCACTTTCTGTGGCTACATTCTTATGCATGGTTTTACTTGCAGAGTTTAGAAAATGGTCACCATGAGAGTGAAGAGACAAAAGCCAATGTAATTTACCTTTTATATCCTTTTATTTATTGTTTAACTGTTTTGGACATAATTGGTGAGCCTATTCTTTCAATTTTGGTTTACTATATTTGTTTTTATATAACAAAAAGCTGTTTTTGCAGGAAGCACAGAGTGCAACGCCTGTTAAGAAGTTTGGAACAGAATCTATGAGGTTGAGGAGGTCCAACATCGAGAGACCACAAGTATAGGCTTGCCAGACCCATGCAATCTGTTTACTTGGTGTTCTTAGTTATTTTCCTCATAATTTCTTCTCAAGCAAGTTTTAAGAAACATTACTTGGACTCCCTACCTCTGGTGCAGGAGAGTGTTGATACTCTTCTCAACTGTGTGACACAACATCTTGGATTCAGTCAGGGAAAGCCTGTTGCAGCATTTACCATATATAAATGCCTACTCCATTGGAAATTGTTTGAAGCTGAAAGAACTAGTGTATTTGACCGTCTTATTCAGATAATAGGTTCTGCGATTGAGGTAACCCGATGCACCATATACCAAATATTTGTCTATTTAATGCAATCACCAATCTTCTAATGCAATCATTAGAAGACCTGTTTTATATGAATATTAAACAAGGTTGTGCCTTTTCCAAGGAAAGGGTGTGGACTAACCCAATAAGCACTCAATCTGGAGAAACGAATTTTTGAAAATATGTGGCCTGTTTCAGTACATGAAGTGTTGTGTAAACCCAACCACTATGATATTAGTGACATACTGCAATTGAGGTAACCGGATGTTCAACGTAGCAAATATTTATTTGTTTAATGCAATCATCAAATTGTCATTTGAAGACCTTGATTATATAAATATCAAACAAGATTGTGCCTTTTCCAGTGACAGGGGTGAGGACTAACTGAATAAAGTACTAATTCTGTAAAAACAGATTTTTGAGAATATGTGGCCTGTTGCAGTGTATGATGTGTTTGGTAAATTTAACCACTATGATGTTAATACCATAAAGATACTGTTCAGTCTTCTCTCCTTTGTTGGCTGATTCCTTAGTGATCATGTTTTCTTAGTCTATCAATTAAAATTTCACCATATGAAAAGAGGTGAAAAATGAAGCAAATGTATTCTAAATACACATTATACCCACTTTAAATGATCTTGTCTTTCTTTCTGCCTTCCAAATGACACACTATTGTTTTTCTTCTGTTCTGAATATTCTTATTCTTCAAATTATTGTTTTTTATCCCTTCTCTGTATTTTTTTTATGCTTAACTGTTATTATTTATCTTTTCTTTCTGCCTTCCAAATAACATTCATTGAGGATTTTAGCCTCATCTAACCTTCCAAAGGCTTATATCATTCAATCCAAACCATGAAATAGATTGATTTTATCTTCCCTTGTAGTTTTCTTATAATTGAGCCCAAGACATTTGTTCTTTCCGCACCCCTTGATTTGCTAGATTATCCGCCATGCTATTGGCTACTTGGCTTCCCTTTGTAAGCATTAGACTTTCACTTCGATATTTCTATTCAGCCATCTGCACTTCTTTAGTTCATTTATGAACATCCATAAAGTTTCCTCTCCATTCTATAATCACCCAATTACCATCCTTGAGTCTTCTTCAGTAATGAGCTTATCTATGCTTTTATCTCTTTCCCTTTGTACACCTTTTCTATTATGGCCTTATCTTTTGTAGAATCATAATTTCTTTTGGAGATATTTTGTCTCTTTGTGTATCAGTTTTACTTGAAACTAAGTTTCAAAGTAATGATATGATATGCTCTCATATTGGGCATATCTTATCATTTTGACAAATCACCTATACACCTTTTTTAAGTGTTTTCCAAAAACTCGTAATTTTTTCGGTCAAAACACCACATACTGTGATCTGTTTGTTTGTGAATATTCGCTGTATTGATACTTTGAACCTTGCTTGAGATTATGAAGGAGGTCAACCGTTTTTCTTTTCCAATTTTCTACTTTTTGTTTTTTGTCTATGAAGTCTCTCACTTTCACTCAATAAAAAAAAAAAGAAAGCAAACAACATAAAAGATGAAATGCTCTATTAACATCATTATCATCATCCATGCCTTATCCCAACTATATGGGGGTGAGTTACATGAATCCTGTTTTTCCAATCTGTTCTATTTAAAGCTGTATCCACCATTAAATTATTAGTGCTTAAACCATTCCTAACCCATGACCTTCTTGGTCTACCCCCAGCTCTTCTAGACCCTTACACTTGTAACAAATCAATTCTTCTAAATGGGACTATTGGTGGTCTTCTATAGACGTGACCAAACCATCTTAATCTATTTTCTCTCATTATCATTTATTGGAGCTACTTATAGGTTTCTATGAATGACTTTATTCCTGATCCTATCCTTTCTAGTTGTTATACTCATCCATCTTAGCATTAGCATTTCTGGCACCCATTTTCTTAACATGTTGTTTCTTGATTTCCCAACAAAGCTGGCCTTACAACTATTAATTATTTTATAGAATTTTTCTTTTAATATAAATGGTAGTTTGCTATCAGACAAAGTCTAGATGCAGTCCATTTTTCCCAATCTGCTTTAATTCTTTGGGTGACATCCTCATCTCTCCCTAGTTATGAATTATTGAACCAAGGTACTAGAAATGGTAACATTGAATTATCTCTTGGTCTCTCTTCCTACGTGTATCCTGATTTACACTCCTATTATTTCTAAACTTACATGTCATATACTTTGTTTTAGTCCTACTTATTTGTTGTTGAATGAGAAGCAYWRAATTATCTCTTGGTCTCTCTTCCTACGTGTATCCTGATTTACACTCCTATTATTTCTAAACTTACATGTCATATACTTTGTTTTAGTCCTACTTATTTGTTGTTGAATGAGAAGCAYWRAATTATCTCTTGGTCTCTCTTCCTACGTGTATCCTGATTTACACTCCTATTATTTCTAAACTTACATGTCATATACTTTGTTTTAGTCCTACTTATTTGTTGTTGAATGAGAAGCACAAAAGAAGAAAAGTGTAGAGAAGATGGGCCGAATGGCCCATAGGCTGTTTATCCTTTCTTATTTTTTATGTTCTTTACTGTAATGGGCCTTATTCTGGGCCTATTCTTTCTATGTTATGTTCTTTTAATTTCTTGCCCAACTAAGGACCTCTTTGTAAATTATTAAAGTTTAACTTAATAAAATAGTGTTAGGTGGTAAGGGGAGAGATTAAGGTTCGAAACTCTCTTCCTCTGAACCCTTATTTCCGCCATCTTCTTCTTCATCTTCTCTTCCTTAGAAGAAGGATTTCTGCTGTTTTTCTTTTGATTTCTGCATCTGTTCTAAACAGTCCTCTATTCTCAAGGGCTGTTTTTCTTCTTGGTATTAGAGCAGGCCTAAACTTGGCTTGGGCTCTCATGTAGGTGTTGTCCAGCCGGCTACATGAGAGTTGTTCTAGGGCTGGAAGCTTCAGTTTGAGTCGTCTGGTTCTTGGAGGTCATTAGAGATTGAAGAAGGTGCCCAAGATTCAAATCTCTTGGAGAGCTGTCTGGTGACCAGGAAGAATCAGAGAAAACAGGTTGGTTCCTGATTTAGAGCTTAAATCAGAGATTGAGAGTGGTGCCCAATAATTTCTGGGTTGTTTTCTTTATATTTTTCCGGACTGTTGAAGTATCCAAAATTTCTCTGAAATCAGTACTGCTATTCGGCTGTTCTTTTAGACTGCTTTAGCCCAGAATTTTTTTGGGTTGTTTTCATATTGTTTGGACTTTCAAGTGGCTGAAATATCTCTGGAATCAGTACTGCTGGTTGGCCTTTTCTTTTGGACTGTTTAGGGCACCTGTACGGACTATTTTCTGGGCTGTATTAATCTTTCGACAGTGTGGTCTCCTCTACTGCCCACCTTGTGTTTGTGAAAAAGTCTCTGAAGTTTTTTTGCTTCCTTTGGATGCTTATTGGACAGTACCTAGAATTTCTGTTTAGAAAAGGAGTTCTTCTGATTTTCTCTCTTGAAGACCGAACCAAGTTGTTTGGTGTACCATGTAGTCTACAAGGTGCAGCTTCTGTTTCTGTTTCTCACAGCTTTTGGGTGTGACTCAGATTTGTGGTTCTGCTGCATTGAGGTAGGCTTAATACAGTCCTTGTTCCATCTTCATTCGGTGTCCTTTTTTTGAAGTTGGTTGAAATCTTTTTGAAGTGGTTAAAGAGATGAACTCCTCAGAGATTGAAAACAAGAATGGTGCTGAATCCGGACAGGTTCCGGGAGCCTCTGTTGACTCTTTACTGACTGTGACCACGGTCAAGCTGGATGGAACTAATTATCTGGCATGGTCACAATCGGTAAAGATTCATGTCTGTAGTAGAGGAAAGTGGGGTTCTATCTCCGGGAGCAAGAAGGCTCCCGAAGAAGATGATCCATCTTTTGAGAAGTGGATGCAAGAAAATTATATTGTTATTGGGTGGCTTGTGAACTCAATGCAGCCACATATTAGCCAACACTATTTGTGGATGAATTCAGCAAAGGAAATCTGGGATAGTGTTGCTGAAACCTATTCCCAAAAATTAAATGTGGCTAGAGCTTACAAGTTGAGAAGTGATGTGAAGAATTTAAGACAGGGGGATAAACCTTTAGCTGTAGCTGTATACTTCTCAACACTGAAGTCTTTGTGGCAAGAAAGAGATTTGATAGAAGTTGTAACTCGGGACACCACTAATGATGCAAGGACCTACAAAATACTGGTTGAGAGAAACAGGGTGTTTGAGTTTTTAACCGGACTAAACCCAGAGTATGATATTACAAAACAGAATATTTTATCCAAGGATAGTGTCTCACTGTCACAAGCATATGCCTTGGTAAGTAGTGAAGAGAGCAGAAGGGTTGTCCAGGTTCAAGGGGCTGGTCTAAATGATCACTTTGCTAATATGGGAGTGAAACCCAAAGGGGTTGCAGGGACTCCTAGTGGCTCAGGGAAGAAAGAGGTTGTCTGTGAGTACTGTAAAAGGCCAAAACACACTAAAGACAAGTGCTGGAAATTACATCCTGAGCTTCTACCTCTTCGGTTTC